TGTACTGATGCAGAATAGTACAGCCTAGCGCATTTCACACAGGCTGCTAGATTCACTTTCGCCAGAAAGTCGTGTATGCCTAAGGTTGAAAATAAATGTTGTTTATAGTGAATGCCCCTATAAATGGTCTTATTTTTATGGTTTAATTATTCTAATGGTTCTTATCGCATGCTGTGTGGTATCGGCGTTTGGTATTGGGGCATTTTAACGAGTACAGGAGCTCAGTATCGGGCCCGATACCGATAACATCCCTACAAAAAGGTAATTGCAACTTTTTTTCTTGCAATTGTGTATTTATTTATAGCTCACTATTCAGACTTTTCTTCTCAGAACTGCAAGTTTATATCTCATAATTCTGTCTTTTTTCCTCATAATTGCAACTTTACATCTTGCAATTTTGTTTTGTTTTGTTTTTTTCCACCAAGGAATAAAAAAAAAAAAAAGGAAATTGCAACTTTTTAATCTCAAAATTTAGACTTTTCTTCTTTGGATTGCAAGTTTATATCTCACAATTATGACTTTCTCAGAACTGCAAGAAAAAAAGTCAGAATTGTGAGATATAAACAGAGTTGTGAGGGGAAAAAATGAAGAATTAAGAAACAAAAAGTCTTTTTTATTTTTTGGCAGGAACAAGCTTTCTCTCAAGCACTAATAAAACATCTTACAATGCATTTCAAGGAATAGTTCAATAAACAATAAATTCATAACATAATAAATAACGTCAACAATTGAATGTCTGATCCTCATACTGTATGGTTTTAGAGAACTTTGAATATAGCATACAGACCATATGGGCTACTATTTCAATGTTTATTCATAAGCAGAGGTTTAGAACGAAATAAAGATGAGTAATTAATGAAAGAATTTACTTTTTTTGGTGAACTATCCCTTTAATTTTGTTTCTCCATAACATATATTTGTAACATGCATCACCTGATTTGAACTCTTTCTCTTTTCGTAGGTAGAAGTTACTGTAGGAAGAGAAGACGATGGGTATGATGGGAACCTGAGAGAGAAAGAGAGAGAGCAGGATGGTTGGTGCACCAGGGATTAGAAACGCTCTCACACACAAAACTATGATCACACACAGACTGAACTATCCTCCCAGACTAATAGCGCCATACATATAATAAGTAATATGAAATGATCGACTACTACATTTAAATCTAAATATAAAATAAACACAAATTGACAAATAAATGTTTAAAATAAATGTACTTTGTGTTTAAATGTAGTTAAACATAACAATAAAATGATACATTAATAACATTAAATTGCACTGTGCATATTTTTATATTTCACGTATTTATAACATTTTTCAAGCCATTCCTGATTTATTTAAAGTCTAGACCATGTATAATATTCCTAGGGCGCACATTATGCCCAAATGCAAAACACAGATATAAAAAGATAAGATAAGACTCAGATTGTTCAACTATTTTACTTTAACTAATGAGAACCATCAGGTCTCCATTATTCTGGTCTAGATTAAGTGATGTCTGTCCGCCTTAACTCACAGCTCATCTGGTTTTGATTATGTCAGTCTGCCATTTTTGATATCAGTATGCATCATCACACACATGATTCATATTACTTTATTCTGAACTTAAAAAGCAGCTACACACAAACTTTCTAAAATAATTAGTTTTCGGTCTACTCATATGAACTTGGGACAAATGATCTACATATGCAGTCATTACAAAGAACAGTATTTTGAACAAGAATATGTCAAAACAACAAGAAATACCACTTTCAAACCATTTTCAGGGGGCCTATAAAGCACTAACTCAATGGGAATTAAAAAAAAAAAAAAGTACAAATCACAAATTATTTGTTAAATGACACAAATAGCAATTGCATGTTTTTGGTAACACCAAAACACCCCCACATTAAAACATTTAAAAATATAATACTTATTTTAAATGGTAATATTTACTGTTTTTACTGTATATATTTTTTTTTTATCAAATAAATGCAACCTTTGTGAGCATGAGATTAAGAGACCAACCTGACATGCTTAAAATATAGTTAAATATAACAATAAAATGATGATCAGTTGAAATATGAATTTGCATTTTTAAAAGGTTAATAATTGTGTATATTTTTATATTTTACAAGTATAAATACATGTATATAATATATAATATTATATAGGAAGCTTAAAAAATGAAACCGGAAGTATTCAAGTAAAAAAAAAAACCTGCCATGCATTTCATTGTTCTAATACAATCCAACTGGCTTAATTCTCAAGTATATTCACAAGCCACAAGAAAGAAAGAAAGAAATGCTGAAGGAATGTTTCATGTGGCTTTGGAAATGAGTTTGTGCAGATGCAGATCAAATGCACTAGTGTGAAAGTTTCAATGTGGCTGCGCTAAAACAACACAGGAGCTGAACACTAAATAATACAAGGAAGGACGGCTCCCTCTGCTGGTGAAGCAACACCACATGAGTAAAGAATCCGAATCAGAAAGAGCTTTATTACCAGGTATGTTCACACATACAAATAATTTTTTTGTGACAGATGCTTCCACAGCACAAACAGATTACAGTGACAAGACACAGATAGTAAAAATAGAATATGTAAATAGGAAATAATAATATACAACAAATACACAAAAATAGACAATAGATGGTATTTGTGTGTACAGGTGTGTTATATACAAATGCAAGGAAATGTGAATAAGACGTATTTGTGTGTTAAATAAATAAATGTATAAATAGTGTTGTGTATTACACGTTTATTGCCAATTTAAATGTTCATGAGATGGACTGCCTGAGGGAATCCAGTCAGTCTCCCTTACGACCTCTGACCCGTGACACCAGTTTCATGGGTTAATGAGGGACCTTTGAGTTCAAGCTTCTTCTGGTTGTGCCAGGTAAACTACTAAAGCTATGTACTTTGCACTTACAAGTCAGGTTACATCAGGTCAAGTGTAAGTGAAGGAGTCTAGGAGTAACACTCACCTGTGCTTGAATGGCCAGATGAAACGCTCCCTTTTTAAAAGGCAAAAGTCCGCCGTTCTGATTCCGTGTGCCTTCTGGAAACACCCACAATCGGATCTAAGGAAAGTTCAATGCAATCACAAAATGAGATTGTTTACAGCACCTCTTCTTTACAACATCCCTACATCAGCACTAAAGACTGATAGTATTACATCATGCAATATACAGTGGGTATAGAAAAGAATCCCCCCCTTTACAATAATCCCATTTTGTTGCTTTGCAGTAGGGCTGTGCGATATTGAAGAAAAATGTGTTATGCGATACATTGTTAAATAATACTATATTCGATATGCGATACGATATTGCTTTAAGTGTGCAAAATCAATTTAAATTATTTTTTTAAATATTTAAAAATGAAAATTATATAACCAATATATATGTTTCACATTCTTTCTTGGAAAAGAATGCATCACTACAACTTCTGAAAGTGACGAGCAGTGTTTTAGCATTACATAAAAAGTAATGTCACAAATTAGAAAATTTCATTTTAACATCAATGTAAACAAACAAACAAAATTGGTGTCACTTATTTTACATCAATGTAACTTTGCTTTTTGTTTATTACTTAAAGTACACTTTAAGTACTACTTCAATACCACAGTAAAAACTATAGCAAACATGATTAAAGGCAAGTGAACAGTCGGTAAAAAATAAGATCAAATACACAAATGACAAGCATAGATAAATACAATATAACGGTTACAAATAAAATAAGGTCTAACCGTAGTATTCAAATATAGAAATGTAATAATTAAGTGTAAGATACTGCATAGTGTTCCCTGTATGAATTAAATTTAGATTAATCTTTGTTAAAGCTGTGTTTTGTTGTTTGATTAACATTAGTGACAAATTGAGCAGCAGGTATTTATACGCTGCTGTCCCTTTAAGACCGACTGCACAGATCCCGTTTAACGATACACTGATTATAACTGATTGTGTTTACGAGAAAGATTGTGGAGATGTTGAACCACCTTTTAAAAGTATTAATTTGTCTTTTTTTTAAATATTAGTGACAGCACACTTTTGAACGGTACTGTACGAGGACCTTGTCCTGATATGTTTGCCATGATTTTCTCTTCAAGATTCATGGGTAGTGTAGTCTTTCACCTGGAATTTGGCTCTTAAATACAACTTTTTAAAACTTTTCAAAAACGTTGTAAGTTAATGAAGAAAGTATGCTTCAATAGGATCAAATAACATCAATTAATAACCTAAAAGCTCATACTACGTGGTTCAAACTCGTCAGGTAAATCACCATTTGTGAGATCTTAGTAAAGACAGACCTTGTCGGCCAACATGGTTTTGGCGGCGTCACTCATGACGTTCTTGGCATCGCTGGTCTTTTGGCGGTTAATGAAGACGATTCCTCCCAGCCAGCAAATCATGCCCACTGTCCCAGCCCATATCAGCTCCTTCTTAGCGATCATCGTGCAGCGGTCTGGCAGGATCTCCATCATGCCTGCAGAGAGGAGGAGAGAATCAGCACAGAAAGACTGGCTGCACAAGTATGATCATGTGACATCTGGGTGTGCTCGTAGAAAACACTGAATACATGCAGGTCTGGTCATGCTGGCAGGAGCTTTCTTGCCAGATTGCGATCCTAACCATGTTTTTATAGGTTAAAGTGGTAATAATAGTAATACCGAGCACACTGAGTGTTGATTGGTTGTGTTTTTTCATTCACCTAGCACATCGAGTGATGATTGGTGGTTGGAGATGATGACGTAGGGTCTGTCTGTCTGTAGATGTTCCCAACCGCTGACCTGATAGCGCAGACCAAGGAAGTACTTCACATGGCTAACCAAGAACCGGATGACTCTATAGAAAGCAAAAAGACATTTAAATCCAGAACATGACCAATAACAGTCATTCAAGTAATCCGTTTTCACAAATATGGCTTCTAGACCGATTTCAATGCAAGTCTATGGGACTTTTCCAGTTTTATCTAGGGGTGTAATGGTTCGATACGAACTTGCACCGTGGTTCAACTTAAATCTGACAATCTCTGTAATATAGCTTGTTAAAAATAACAATACATAAAATAGACAGAGTTCGGCTAATGTATGTTTCTGTCAATGGATACGCATTCTGGCTTCCCAATTCATTACAACAACAGCGATGAACAAAAAACGTGGACGAACCAGTCACTCTTTGTAAACTTTGTTCAATGCGAGTGCTGTATAATCGAATATGACGAGTCATTTATGCCGTTGATAAAATTCAAACTATACTCAACCCTATCGGTCACTAGGGCTGTCAAAACAAATTTGAATTTCGAATATTCGTCGAATTTAAAATAAAAATCCACATTCAAATGCAAAAACGTTGCATTCGAATTTTAGGTGTGCGTTAAGGAGGCTGTCTTATCAGTGGCGCACGAGATGCGATGATGACGATTGCATTTTAATGTTTTTGTTAGCCAATCCAGTTGAAGCCACTAGATGCGGCGCTGCTGCATTGTTAATTACAAATATTGTGGGGAAAGAGAACATGAATGCGGAGAAGATCTTGTTTACGTCAAAACTGAAACCAAGCCGCACAGAACGCATATTTCGCGCATTTTCTAGAGGGACATCTATCACTGTTGCACTCGTGTCTCGCACAAAATAGCCGCATGTTTAGAAAGCCATGTAAAATTAATGCAAGTTCAACTTTCAAGATATCAAAACATATCTCGAGACTTTATGGCGTTTTTTTTCCCCCATCCCACTGCAACTCGTGTTTTTAAATGAAAAATGTATTCTGTGTGATTGGCTTTCCGCCCTTTGTATTAAACTATGCATACATACATGATGCTGTTTTGTTTATAGTTGTTTAAGCAACTGGGTGTATTATTGACATGTCAAAGTCTAGACCCTGAATATAAGACGACCGCGTTTTTTCAGATGTATTTCCAAGAAAAGAAACATCATCTTATATTCGGGTCAATACGGTAATTCGAATTTTGATAATATTTAAGTACAAAATTTGAATGTAGTTTTTCAGCCATTTTGACAGCCCTATCGGTCACCAGGCACAAATACGTTTTAGAAATGTAACAGCCCATCAAAATTGAGGTATTGCTCATGTCTGCAACATAAATAATTTTTGTCCAAATCTCTGGCTCCAGGTCTGAGCAGACATAGACAGAAGCACTAACAAGACAGTTCAACCACTAAAAAGTGCCGCAGGAATGATGCATTTTTGTAGGCCAAAACATAGAGACAAGCATTTTAGCACTTACGACTCCATTGTCTTTAAGTCAGTGTGTTTTTGGAGGGTTTTTTTTTTTTTTTGGTTAAAAGCCTAAAATAATTTCTGTGGGGAACACAAGATCAACTTATTTTACTTTTTTTCCTCTAAAACATCAAACACATCAGTAATTCCCCCTTTACAGGTTGTTGTCTATAGTCTATGTTTAGCTGACAAAATAAAAATGACAAAAATACTAAAAATTTAACTAAAATTAAAATGAAACCTGAAAATATAAAAATGAAAGCTAATTCAAAATATTAATAGAAATTATGATAATGTATAAATAATACTGAAATAACAGTGATAAGAGACTATTGTAAAATCTAAATTATTTGATGTTTATCATGGGATGTTGCGCGATAAACAAAGAGATTACAGATACAGTATCTTGTGAGACCTTTGAACACATTAGAGGCTCATATCAGTAATGTGAATATGTGGAGCAAATGCGGGCAAAAGACATCTGCGGTTACATAACACCGCAGCTGAGGAGAGTCAGCAAAACTCAGCCGGATCAGAGCATTCGTTCATTCAAACACTTCCCGATGATTGATCCCGATGATTCAGAGTCTAATTATGAGACAGACGTATGACTGTGGGTTACAATGAATCATGTTGAAATATTTAGTAGGTTATGGGTGAAATGTTGTGCTAACCCATTAACCTCAAGTATGAGCAACAGTAAAAGTGATGCTTGACTTAACATTTAGTGCTAATTTGATGTGACTAAGCTCTGGTTTCATCGAACAAGTCACCAATGCATCAAAACGAAATGTTAGTTTTCTGAGTTTACACTGAGAATAATTTCAGCAATGCTTTGACATGAAACTTTGTCCGCATTACACATCACCTCACTAGTGATTGGTGTGCCCCGAGGGTTTGAGTTTTGACATGTTCGGAATAGTAAAAAACAGCTCACTGCATGGAGATCTCGCCCTTAGCAGTCACTGCATGTGCGTTTTGTAACACAGAGTAAAACGTCTTTAAGACAAGAGACTGAGCCTGTTCTGCAATAAATCTGGACTGTGCTGTTGTTACTATAAATGTAGATTATCTGAATTTGTTTAGATTAATTTAGCCTAACAATCTACCTTACTATCAAACATAAAATTATATATTTTTTTATATAGTACCTTTAAAATACCATGGTACTGTGATATTTTAAAGTACTCTACTGTTCAATAGTTTGGGGTCGGTAAGATTTTTTAAAAATGTTTTTGAAAAAAGTCTGTTATGTTCATCAATGCTGCATTTATTGGATCAAAAATACAGTAAAACCAGTAATATTGTGAAATATTATTACAATTTCAAATAGCTGTTTTCTATTTGAGTACCTTTTAAAATGCAATTTATTTATTTGATGCAAAACTGAATTTTCAGCATTAGTACAGTCTTCAGTGTCACATGATCCTTCAGAAATCATTCTAATATGCTGATTTGCTGCTCAAGAAACCTTTATAATTTTTCAGTGTTGAAAACAGTTGTGCTGCTTCATATTTTTGTGGAAATTTTTTCCAGCACTTTTTTATGAATAGAAAGAAAGAAAAAAAAACAACACAACAGACATGCAAATGCTGACAGCATGCTAAATTTAATGACAACGTGTCATGCTTTCTTACTCAAACAACAAAAATGCACTCACAAATGCACATTCATTTGGCTAACATCAGGGTTTAAAAGTAGCTCAGTATTGCAATCAGCTATGGAACCACATAATTTTATTATTTTTATTAGTTACTCCACACGTCCTAAATAAACTGTTATCACAAATGTCAACCTGTTCTCTAACACGTTACCATGGTACACAAGCAGAAAGGAACACAAGAGTTTAAAGCCTGCCCAGCTCAGCTTTTATCGTATATCTTAAACTTCACGAGTAGTTTATCAACATTACAGATCACAATTTAGGTTTAAGGTTACTACGGTGCATTTGAGATGTTTATTCCATCGTAATTTACTCACCCTCATGTCATTTCAAACCTGCTTGGCTTTATTTATATTGTGAAACATAAATGGAGATGTTCTGAATAATGTACAGGCCAGGAATAATATAGTAACTAAAAAAATTAAAAATAAATGTTACTTAAAATAAATGTTAACTGTATTTTTTTTTTTACACTTGCCAAAGCAATATTTCTAATTTTCATTTAGTTTAACTTGACGTGCTTAAATCAATAAAAACTAAAAATATAAAAAAAAAAAACTATAATAAAATAAAAACAACAATTGCTAAAGCTTTCAAATTAAAACGAAAACAGAAAATACACAGATAAAAACATTTCAAGATCCAAGATATTTAAAAAACTGTAACAGTATCTTAATGATACAAAAATAACACTGGGTCACTGGCACAGGCCTCTTTTTTTCAATTGAATTATAATGCCTTGTCATCTCTCTCCTTTGACCCAATAAGTTTGGCATCCTTCCTGGATGCAGGACAGATTCACCTGTGATCTACAAACCCCACACATGGCACTGATAGCTTGAATCACTAGACAGCCGGTATAAAATATCAGTGAACTTCAACTTGGGAGAGATGATTGTGTTTAATAACTGCAATAAATGGATGTCTGTTATTCTATGGCGCTCAGTGTGTCCATTGTACCATGCGTGTGAATGAACTAGGGCTGCCACTAACGACTATTTTTATTTTCGATTAATCTAAAGCAGGGGTCACCAGAGATGGTCCTGGAGGGCTGGTGTCCTGCAGAGTTTAGCTCCAACCCTAATTAAACACACCTGAACCAGCTAATCACGCTCATACTAGGTATACTTGAAACTTCCAGGCAGGTGTGTTGAGGCAAGTTGGAGCTAAACTCTGCAGGACACCGGCAGGACTGCGGCTCTCTAGGACCGAACTTGCCTACCCCTGATCTAAACGATTCATTTCCCACAAAAAAAATCAACAATTATAAAGAACATTTTATTAAACTTGCAACTTTGTCATTCAGTAGTGTACCATAAAAAAAGTATAAATGTAAACAAGCCATTGACGAAATGCAAAACTAAAAGACTAAAAATGTAAACAAACCTAATAAAAATGAAATAAAAAGAAAATAATTACAAAAGTCTGAGAAAGTCAGCATGTTCTTAATGTCAATATATCCACATGTTCTGGGCTTCTGTTCATAGCCACTGTAACTTAATGAATATGTGGACATCAAAACGTGTAAACTCAAGAGTGAGGGTTTGAGCTTTTATTTTGAAACCGCGAGATAATGATGTATTCTCCTGTGTTTGCGTGGATTTATAAATGATTTACCTTACAAATCTGATGAAATGGCGCACGGTATTTTGCCGGTTAGTCGACGCAGGCAAAATGAAGTCGAGGATTTTTTTTAATCGAATAGAACCGATGAATCGCGGCAGCCCTAGAATGAACCAACTATTATAAAGAGCAGAAATTCTCTAGTTTTTAGTGAGCATGTGAAATACAGCGAAATACAGGTGCTGATGGGAACTTATGTGCATATGCAGACCTCAGGTCTCCAATTTTCATATCACACACTCTATTAGTGAAGGACACACCACAAGGCTGCTTGTCATAACAGGTGATGCAGAACACACCAGATCCTGATCCTGAGTATTTAAACAAAATAATGAATAAAATATAAAAAAAAAACATAAATGCTCATTTTATTTTAGTGTAACTTCAAGATCTAAAATACCTAACTAAAACTGAAAAAAGAATTAACTAAAGAACTATATAGATATATGTTTACTTTAAAATAAACTAATACATATAACAAAAACACATAATAAAATGACTAAAACTTAACTATAAAATTACTACAACTATAATAGTATATCAACTGGTACACGTGACATTACGGTGTGAAATATCTTACTTCTAAAACAGCATTTTGCTAATTATTTATAATTAGCATGCATACAGCTTTTAAGGCCTCTTAATTTAGATGACATGGAATATTTGTACTTACAAAAATGTCACACTCATGCAGGTCTACACTTTTCCTGAAAACATTCATATCAATTGTAATTTAACATCTTGGTTAATGATGCACCCAAATTACTATTATTATTATTTTATTTTTTTTTTCAGAAACTGAAATTAAAGTTTTTATTTAACCAAAAACGAAAATAAAGTTAATTTAATAAAGAATTAATTAATCAAATATATTTCATATTCAACACTTGAAAAAATTATACATTTACGTTGTATAAGGCTGTTTTTATATAAACTTTTTATTTATATCATTATATTTCTACTCCAATCTGTTGCTGAAATATAAACATTTAAATAGTTGCTGTACTAGAAACTTGTTTTCATGATGATTTATTTAAACACATTAAATTCCATTCTGCTCAATGGTTTTGGCCCTCTGAAATCAAAAATTAATATTTTCGGCCAAATATTTTTGGTTGCCGAAATTTCAGTGCATCAGCAATTCACACTGATTTTACACAATTTTGCTTTATTTGTGAGGACCAAACTTTTAAATGCTTCATAAATGGACATTTAGTTCAATGTAAGTTATTTTCTAGTTAAATCTTACCATATAAAATAATTCCGATTCGTTCCTCAGTTTGTAACACAAATGTTAAAGGTGCAGTCACATTTACCATTGTTTGACGACTTTCCGCGAACAAAATCCAGTTATTTCAAATGGAATCTACATGATTTGGAATTTCGCATGACAACAAACCATTAGTTTACGTTCACATTAATGAACAACTTGACAACAGACTTTTTCGCCGAAATTTCCTTAAAGGGTTAGTTCACCCAAAAATGAAAATTCTGTCATTAGTTACTCACCCTCATGTCGTTTCAAACCCGTAAGACCTTCGTTCATCTTCGGAACACAAATTAAGATATTTTTGATGGAATCTGAGAGCTTGTTTCTGGACTTGGGAACATTTCAGTTGCGTTGCTGTCTATGGGAGGGTCAGACAGCTCTCAGATTCCATCAAAAATATCTTAATTTGTGTTCCGAAGATGAACGAAGGTCTTACGGGTTTGAAACGACATGAGGGTGAGTAATTAATGACAGAATTTCATTTTTGGGTGAACTAACCCTTTAAAGCGACTGCACCGTAACTATAGGAAAAAAGAGATTAAAATCACTTCTGCATCAAATTTTTTTGAACAAAACGACATGGAAAATAAATCACATCACGATTAATTATTTTAACATAGTGACAGTCCTAGTTTCTGTCAATAAATCAATGAACGTTGGCTGAGTGAGTTACATTCGAGCTCTATTCTAGAACGTCCGTTACCATGACAACGACATTCTAGCGTGTTACTGAAGGTTTAAAGCGATTTTCGGCGCGAACATTGATTCTAAACTGATGGCCTAGAATCCGCAATTCCATCGATCAAATGTCCAATGTGTGGAACGAGTGTGACTGTTGCTTTTAATCTAGCACCATCGACCAGCATGAACTCTGCACCAGCGGAGCCACGAGACCAATCCATCACGACCTCATTCATACAAACTAGAAAGTCTTGGCTTGGACAAACTAGAGCATGCGTAACTAGCAACCCACATCAGTTTTACACCTTCCCATCATATCATCAGAAAACAAACATACGCTTTCGACGCCATCTCTGGCTTGCACGAGACGCTAAAGCAGCTAGCACTCAGCTTAAAGACCCACGAGCAGCAAAACACGAGCGCTAACCACATATTTACATCGCCGTATGTTGTTAAATCACACAGAGCTTCATTTTATTCATGCATCACCCTGATATCGTATTAAAGATACTATATTGAGGCCTGCATGTGTTCTCGCGTGAACTGTACTGAGCGAGCTGGCTAAAGATTCACTACTGTGATCCGAACATCTGTCCGGGGTAAACAAATGCAATGCATTCCGTTACAAATGCATTCTCATTTCAATCGTAGAAAGCATGTGTGGGTGCATAAACGAGCAATTCAAAATATGTGATTGCATCTATATAGCAACCTGTTCCAGTCAATTTAATGTATATTATGATATGTTTCATAGCTTATTTGTTACTGTAACACTCTATAACCACATAAAATAACAGCCCAGTGTCCTAAAGCAATGCACGAGTGTAGAAACGTAACATTGTGCGACTTGCGTTGTTGAAAACTCACCTCATATTCTCAATGTCCCTGCCGCCGCTTTTTAGAATGCAAATCGGTATGGCGATTACGGCCAGCAGCATCATGTACGCCACATAGAAGCACTTTTTGAAATAGAAAACGAACGTGCTGCTTGTCCATAACAGGAGCGGGAGCACCAGCAGCACAGGGAGCATCCACACGGCATCCATGCCCGCGACCAGCGCCTCTTTCCCGGCTGTCGAGAAATGATAGAAGGTCAGCGGTGTGGAGTGGAGGGGGGACCGCGCGGGATCAACTCAGAACCGAGTCTACATCAGACACCACGTCCAAGTCGCACCCTTGAGTAACTTTGGCTTGTCGTTTACGCAATATCGGGCGAATGAGGTGGACGTCAACAAGAATCAGGCGCGGGTTATCCACTGAGAGCTCTGCGCGTGTAACCTTTGGCCGTCTGCTGTGCGTGTGTGTGTGTGTGTGTGTGTGTGTGTGTGTGTGTGCTGTGTAACTGGCGCTGTGTGATTCGCGAATCATTCTTTTGAACCGGTTCTTTGAGATGATTCTCTCTCAGCATTTGTGAACGACTCACTTACAACTAGAAGTTTCCACCAAACTACTACAGTTATAGTTATTTCGATAAAACTGCTAAACGCTGTATTATCAAACAGTGTCCAAAAATAAATAAATACATAAGTAAACAAATAAATAAATAAAAGTGTATAATGCAGTATACTTATTATTTTTATTTTGTAACATTACTGGCTCTTTTGTGTGTGTGTGTGTGTGTGTGTGTGTGTGATTCGGCAATATTGTATGCAAAACAATAACTGACAAAATAAATAAGAATTAAAAACGCAATACAAATAATAATGCAATGATAATGCATATTTTTTGCATTAAAAATGGTTATAGGTTACAATATACTTTTAAAATATCCTTTATGACACTGACAAAACGATGTTTAATAATAATAATAATGCAATGTTTTTATTGTTGTAGTCGGAACAAAATGCAGAAGACTTGCAGAAGAAACAATATTAAAAATACTAATAATAAGACTAATAATAAAATAGCCTACTACTAATTAAAATACGTCCAAACCACATTAATAGTGAAAATATTGTTCTTTATTATATTATTAGTTATTATATTATTGATATATTTTACTTATTTTATTACTTTTCTGTCACTGCGTGTGTATTTGTGCTTTGGCAATATTGTATGCAAAACAGTCAATAAAATAAATAAAAATAACGAACACAAGACAAATCATAATAATAATAGGCCTAATAATATGCAATAAAAAACGGTTCTGGGCTACAATATACATTTAAAACAATTGTATGATATTGAAAACAATGATTTATAATAATAATGCAATGTAGTAATAATAATGCATTTTAGTCAAATGATTAATACGTTTGTGTTGTGTCAAAAAGCAGAATTAAAACAATATTTAAAAATACATTCAGGCCACATTGCTAGTGAAAAAACTCTAAACAATCTTAACTACTAGAACAACTGAGTGACGATCAGGTTGAATTGGTCGAATCAGTGAACCGTTTTCTTTAAACCAGTTCACTGAAACGAACAGTCCGAACGAACCGATTCGCTCAAATGAATCGGACTTCCCCACGCTCTGATTTGTGCTCAAAAGCTCCTGCTGTAAGTTTGAATCCCTCCCATGTGTGTGTTTCCGGGTACTGGTTGCTTGTGTTTCCCTGTCATGTGTGTTTGGTGCACCTGAAACTACTTTATTAGAACAAAGACACAATATGCCAACATTTGGAGTGTGTAAGAAATGCCTGGAATGTTCTGGAACAGTGCAGTGTGCAGTTTCTTATGAACATTTTCAGCGCTGTTAACAGGACCATCCACAGGGACAGTGGGACAAGGGACAAGTCTTGAGCACTGATCCCACCGAACTACAGAATTTACATCTGATTTGATTATGTAAAGGTGTCTGTGCATGATGTGCATACTTTGTCCAATCTTACACTCCATTGCATTGTGTTTTAGAGTTAACGGAAATCATTATTATATAAAATTAATGGGCAATGTTCTGACAGAAAATGACCGGTACATTTTCCATTCATCCATCCATCCATGCATTCATTCATTCATTCATTCATTGTGTGTGCACTTAATAAAAACAAGTTGTTCCATAGACACACACATACTTTACTCTTTGTGGATTAACACAATGTGTTTTATTCAGGGTTATTAAAGGATAGTTTCCAAGGATAGATTCCAGGATAGATTCTAAGCTTTATAATGGCAGTGGATGGTGGTTGAGATTTTGAAGCAAAATAAAGTGCATCCATTCATCATGAAAAGTACTCCACACGGCTCTGGTTGGTTAATAAAGGCCTTCTGAAGTGTTTGTGTATACTATGATGACTTGAGGGCGAGTAAATCATGGGTAATTTTCATTTTTGGTTGGACTATCCCTTTAACCATAAAAAAAAAAATTGTTACTTGAAATCAAATATAAGTTAACTGGAATAAAATATAAAAATAACCTAAACTTATTTTATTTCAGATAGTTGTCAAACATTTCATATTTTCATTTAGTTTATCTTGATGTGCCAAAATAACTAAAACTAAAATTTAAATAAAACATTTATGGAAATATTTACTTTTATTAAAATATAAAAAATATTTTTACTTTTATTATTTTTTTATTATAATTATTTAAAAAAACCACAACAAAATTACTAAACCTTTAAAATTAAAATTAAAACAGATTTTTTTTTTTTTTAAATAGTATTCAAAGATACTAAAATTGCACTGCTATTCTGCAAAAACAATTTCCCCCAAAATGTAGTTTATTGCAATTGCCTGTAGGAAAAATCACGATGCCAAGTGTTGAGGAGCGGATAGGCAGATTAAGGATTATAGGAGGTGCAGTTAAACAAGATTAAATGGCTGATCAGATTGTGTAATCTGATACATCAGGTCACAGAGTCACTAAGGTGTTTAAATGTGACCTGACCACAGTTACAGCTTTGTGACACTGTGTGTGTGTGTTTATTCCCAGATAATTCATCTGAAATGTAAGCGTATGGTTTTTAGTGCTTACTTTTTACAAAATGTAAGAAGTGTGTATGATTATGTCAATATGAACCCTCTTCTAAGTCTCAGTCTGAGTCCATTGAAAGTGAATTAAGATCTTATGGTGGATTTTAATTTTTATTTATTTATTTTTAATATTATTATTGTGGATTAATCTATGGAAATAGTTGTCTTTTGGTGTCATAAAGCTGACGTTTTCTCAGCTGAGTTAAACAGCCAATCACAGCAGAGTTTTCTCATATCATAACGTCAAAGAGTAATGTTCAAGGATCATTAGGCTTGTTCGAGATGCATCGGCGCTGCGCAGACCGATCGGCGTATGACATCAAAGTACCGCGAGAGCGATTAGAAAGCAGACAACTCTTTAAGCTTTTGAATGGCTCTCGCGGTACTTTGATGTCATACGCCGATCGGTCTGCGCAGCGCCGATGCATCTCGAACAAGCCTAATGTCACCTGCTACAGTGACAATTTTGAGCTAAATTTTGTCCCAGAATAGTAGTTTTGATGAGATACTGTATGAACTTTCATATGGAGGTAATCCAGAAATGTGACAAGAAGTGGTGTTTTATCATTAAAGATATTCGCTATATAAAAATAAATAAATCTTTTGTTTTTTGCATTCCTTTCTAATTAAAGACAAGCAAAATTCTCCATCAACCTTTATTGCCCTCTGATGTCCGTAACATGAATTGCAAAAATGTATTGCACATAATTTTGCACTTGAGAACTGAGTGTATTATTATGCAGCCTGGAATGATCAATTGAAAATAAGCAAATGTGAAATATAAAATAATACTAAAATATTCTTTTGAAGTCACATAAGAAGTAAACACAATATCCATGCACACACATATGTTACCCTTAACCTATATTTGCACTTGCAGTGAATGTACACTCTGTTGCATGGTCTCTGCAATACAGAATGTTTTGCTCTCAGAGTGCCGCATGCAAGATGAAACCTGTCCAAACACAAACCTGGCTGTAGAAGGAACTTGAGGGCTTGAATTAAGAAAAGAGCCAACAACCTGAAAGTGGCCTACATGCTTTACACATGCATACAATGCTTTATAAAAATGTATGCACAGTTTAACTTGATATTTAAATAACTTAAAATCACTAATCAAACTGAATTGGTGTGTGTTTTCATGCTTTATATGTTTACTTTTTTATTTTTTTATAATTTTGACGCTTCAACCACCAAATACCTAATATGGCTGATTTGAAAGAAATGTTCTTATTTTCAATTTAGTCACACTTAAAGGTATTCTATAACAAAAAAGGATTCTATAATATTGATGAATCAAAAAGTAGCCTATTCTAATTGTTTTTATTTAGTCTCATTTTGTCCTAATTATATTCTATTGTCTGTGGTCAAATTTTAAGGGTTATTTTTACCTTTAAATAAATAAATTTACATTAAAGGTATTTTATCCCATTCTATTCTGTTCTATTCTATTCGATTCTATTCATGCACACTGTAACCTGATATTCAAATAAATACATTTTTACTGTTTTTTTAAATAATTATTATTGATAAATTTGTGACACTTCATTCGCTTTTAGATGACTAATTACCCAATGTGAGGAAAACATTGTTGAATTTATAGATTTTTTCTTATTTTCTATACCATTCTATTTACAGCTGCAGTCCGTAAGTTTTGCCTCTGTCGCCATCTCTGTTTGAAAACTTGCAATTGCAGCTATTTGCGCAATTATCTTCCTTGCGCGGGTTGTGCACCGGCATGGCTCCAGCGCGGATGAATATAATTTGTGGCTGTCAGTCACCGTCCGCACCGGTATGGATACTGCACTTTGTATTCACAGATTCTACATGTTGAAAGTATGACCCAAATTAGAGTTTTCACTGGAGAATGTCATCTGAACAATAGAGTGGGGGAGCTATGATGTCACTTTGTAGGCGGATCAGCTGTTAGCATGGTACTGGTTCCCTCGACAAAAAGGATTTTTCCATAGGCTTTTGGATTATCGCAAAAAATAAGCATAATCATAGTTCATGAAACTTACACGTTTTGTCCATCAAGATAATCTTCACAAAATAATATAACTTTTATGAATTTTGAAGCCGAAATAAAAGCACCAGAACTTAAAAGCTAAAGCTTAGGCTATAAACTAACTACAGCACCACGGTCGCTCGCATTTAACGTCACCACCACCATGCTTCCCACAACATTTCAAACTTATTTTTAACATGTTCAGTGAAAAGGATTTACTCTGTATATGAATTTTAATCCACGCTACATGAACCTTTTCATATAAACTGGAATAAATACAAAACTAGAGCCAAACTAAAACTGAAATGAGACATTAGTAATAAATAGTATAGTGAATAAATGAAATAATCATAACTAAAGGACATATGAAAGCA